AAGCTCCATGTATTTGGGAAACTCGTGTTGGGGCATTACAAACGATCGCCACGCAACGGCACTGCAAATCAACAAACCATCTACTGGCATCTGACTGGCCATGTGAATGGCCTCTCGGCCGGAGAGCGTCGAATTGAATTGTCCGGGAAAGTTTCGTTGGAAAAGATGTGGATCGGCACAAACCTTGATGAATCGTTCATTGTTTGGGCCCGCAACCGGGGCTTATTATGGTAGCGCACTGGCGCCTCTCGCGACCGAGCACCCTGACGCATCATCATCGACCGATGACTGCCAGCTATCATTAGCACTCCTCTAAACTTGATGCACTTCTTCTCGGTAGTTCGCTTTGATCTGTCATAGCATCTATAGGTCTGCTTATTTCTTTCCTGCTCGCTTGGCATCTCCAGCACCACCACCATTGTTTACGTGCCCTGACGACTGTGAGGTGGCGGTCATATTCTCCCCTTTAGATGGCAGACCTGTGGACGTACGAACAATTGCTTCCCAGGCCAGCAAGGGCGCCGTGTCCGAGGCTCCTTCGTGCTTGGCCACGGGAGAGGTCCGCTTTGATGAAGAGACAGAAGTCTCTGCAAGTAAAAGTGGATTCTCAGCCACTGATCCAGCACCAGGACATGAATTCGCCTAGCGAAGCGTCTTGCCCGCGACAGCAACAATGCTTAAGCCGGTGATGGCAGCAAGCGCTACTAGTAGTACTGTAGATACACCCGCGCTGTTCGTGCATACTGAATTATTGATCTGGCCACTGCAAAGCACTCGGAAGAATCAACACATTGTTGCCATCACCTGGTCCCGGCTGGCTTCCGTGGATAATTTCCCCACTCTAAACCCCCCATACTTTGTTCCTTCTACGGTACCAGGGGGGTGCCTCAAATCAACTTACTATTTCCGGCAACATCTTGGACAATCTGGAAAAATGTTTTACCACTTTCTACTGTCTTCAACCGACTTCCACCGCCTTCAACCGCTTGAATTACCGCCTGTTTTGCCACCTTTTACCACCTTTGATCACGCTTTACCGGTACGACCACCTCTTACCGCTCTCCACCGCCTCTTGCCGCCTTCCACCACCGTATTTTTCGGCGATAATGCGGGAAAACGCGAGATAGGACATTCAGAGATGATTTGAGGCACCCCCCAGTACAGCCTGGTGAACGCATGAAAGAAACTTTACCTCGGCAGGTTAACTGCCTAAGTTCTCAACCCCTTTTTAACCTCGGCAGTCTATCTGCCTGAGCCCTCACCCCCTTTTTTGGTGTTACGTCTCCTCGGAACGACGCTCCTTTTGGTTACCCCCTCAGTTGCACTCCGAAATCGATTTGCCGGTGTTTACTGTGTAAATTAGAGTAGCGGCAAGTCAGTTGCATAATCAACGGTCATGTGTATCGTTAAGTAACAGGTTCTCTTTCGAAATATTTAGTCGATTCGTGGATAAAAAGAACCATTGAAGTTGCTAAGGTTAAGGTTAAACTGATTGAGTTTCTTTATCCAATCGACCTCAGTTGAAATCGATGGATCGAACGACTGGTACCTCGTACCAGGTAAGCCTATTATCAAGAGTGTTAATTGAAGGTATAGCGCTGACGTCTCTCCCTCATTGGATTTCTATGGTATTCAGGAGAGAATTCCGAGCTCGGCCGTCAACAGGTGAGTTATTTAATTATTCGAATCGAATCGGTTCTTGCACCTCTGTTATCCAAGCCTCACTCAAGCCAACCGTCTCCGGTGTAGATTGGAAAGCCATCCCTCATTGAATCCTATGGGCGGTGGGATGGCAGTCAGTTCTCGGCCCATGGCAGTCAAGTTGGTGGTCCACTACACCGGTACAAAAAATAACGAAATTTTATTTTAAAGTCTACACCTCGTCAGACAATCCCGCTGAACGGTGCCGTGACGAACCACACCGGTACAACTACCAGATACGTGTACAGTCGTACAGGTCCAGCCAAGTCCATTGTTGAAGGTGCAGCACTGACTTCTCTCCCTCATTGAATTGCTATGGCAAACAGGAGAGAAATCCAAGCTTGGCCAACAAGAATGGTGTTGGAACGATCGAACGACTGGTACGGTACTGTACGATGTAAACCTAGTATCAAGAGTGTTATTGAAGGTGAAAGCCATCCCTTATTGAATTTCTATGAACCAAGGGAAGGCAGTCAGATCTCGGCCATCAACAGGTGAGTTGTTCTTTAATTATTCAAGTGATAGTCAATCAATCGCACCTCTATTATTTAGCCTCACTTAAAGCCGTCCTTCTTCGGTGCAGATTCGAAAGCCATCCCTCATTGAATCCTATGGACCATGGGATGGCAGTTAGTTCTCAGCCCATGACGACCAAGTTGGTGCAATTTGAAAAGCAAGAGTAAGTCTCCGGTCGTCTGCAGTTGAGCACAGAAAACAAAACTCATATCTATTTGTTGTTTTCTCTACTGTACTGCTGACGGCCGAGGAAATACCATTGTCGACGGTCGTTGCTCCGGATAAGAAGAGGAAGAGGCTGCTGTTACGGAAGAGGCTCTGTTAACTCAAGCCCTATCAGCAGCCTGAACGGAGGAGATCATCGTCGAGTCATTGAAAAGGGAACATGAGCAAGCCAACAATACACAAGAGAGTGGATCCTACTACTGGATTCATCCCTCAAGTGTTATTTCCTAATAGTGTTTTGGTTGTGATTCATGTGTCGGTACCCACTTTCCTGTATGCACAAGTCCTCGGGCGAATGACTTGCTTCTTTCGTACGATAAAGATAGATAGATAACTCGTAAGATAATAGATCATCGATTACCGACCAATAGACCACTCCTTTCATTAGATAGACACCTTATATATCAATAGGATTGACAATATTCCGTTGTGCATGTATTCATCATAAGGATCCAATGCGAGGTACCTGTACCGGAGTGTAGCGAGCAAAGCCGAACCTGAGTGTGTTTGGTACTGTTGCCACTGTCGCCGATGTAACTATACGGTGTGTAGCCGACTACATTTGCTGGATTGACAATATTCGGTTGTGCATGTATTCGTCATAAGGATCCATTGCGAGGTAACGGAGTGTAGTGAGCGAAAGCCGAACATGAGCGTGTTCAGTACTGTTGCCACTGTCACCAATGTA